ATTCATCTGCACATCAAGGAGAGCACAGGAAGCCGAGACTTCAAACCTGGCCAGATGGTGTTCCATGAGATAGAGTGTAGAGTTTCAAATATTGCCCCACCCATAGAGTACCTGCCCCTTTCTACATGCACCAATGAGGGAGGTCATGGGATGGACTTGTAAGTAGATGGGATTACAGTTTGGCAAGGTGCCACCCACCTGGAGATTCAACTATAAAAGTAAAGACCAAACGTTAGGTCTTTGCTAGCCACATCCCTTCTCAACGTCCTCTGTCTTCTTTTCTACCCCTAAAGTCCAGCTCTTTATCAAACAACCCTTTTGACCATCCTAGATCTCTTTCCCTAAAGTCCAGCTCTCTATCAAACAACCCTTCGACCATCCTAGATCTCTTGGACTGCAGCCAAAGAGGTCCATACTTTGCTGGCTGGTTCTAGCAAGTGTGATTTAGTTAACATCCCTAGGTATTACTTTCTTCCCATATCTTACATTGCATCAGACAAGACTTCAGGAACAGGCAAGTATAAACCGATAACTACCTACCTCCAAGTAAATAAGATACTATCTTGATATCTTTCTGTAACTCTAAAGGAAACTTGATTGTATGCGAATGTGAGACTGATTTTGTGTGTATGTGATTTTGATATTGCTCAGTAAAAAGACAATTTGTTTTGGAAAAACACCAGTCTCGTCTCCATCACTGGTACTCTCTGGAGCTGGCAGAACCTCCGTAAACTTTGGCAAGGACTCACGTTAAATTTAGTTAGCCATCTGCTGTAAATAAAGCGATTGGCGTAACACTATTTAGAAGGGTTTGGATGTTGTTTGAAAGTCTTGCTGGGGGAAGGATTTTTTTTACTCCTGTGTCTTGCAACATGATGTTCAAAGTAGGATCCCTGTTAATCTTGACACTGGTTCCATACTTCCTAGAAGCCTGAATAGCAGGCCCATAGCCAGAAGTTTTTTAAGGGACTTTTTTTTTTTGTTAAGGGGGCAGTATAGCATGGTGGAGAGCAGCCTGTTACTGCCATGCTTATACTAAATAATGAAGTCAAGTGGTATATCACACAAAAATGTTTCAGGTTTATTACAAAGATATTCACATGCAGAACGTATTGACTGCTCTAACAGGTAACAGACAACACACATTTTCAAACTGTTCCACTCTGAAGTTTAACAGGATGTGGTATAAGAGGTATGATGCAGGCAAAATTGGATTAGACCACATAAAAGAGATTTCATACTGCACCAAAAACTACTGGGACATAAAACCTGGTAATGGCTGTTCTTCCAGTCAGCATGTGTGTGACTATAGTGCTGGACCTAAGAGACCGAGGTGCAAGTCCCTACTGGTATTCTCAACCTCACTTATTTCACAGGATGGTTGTTGTAACCTGGTGATTTTAAAACTCTGTACTTAAAAATCAAACCTATGAAGCAGATTACAGCATAGGTTGCAAGCTGCAGTGGAAATGAAATGGAGGCACCAGTTGTTTAATGGGATGACTGCAGGTGTTGATATTTAAAGCAACATACTAGTCAGTGCTGACCCTGCTTAGATTCTGAGATCTGATGAGTTTGGGCTTGCGTGAGCTACCTCGGACAGTCTGTTAAATATTCGAAAGCATGAAATTCCAAAATAATACTTGTTTATACTATGAGAAATCTTTCTCCTCGCAATCTGTTTTCAAGGGCCTCGGATGCTCTCTGATAAACAACTTTCTTTTTTCCCGTGTTGCTGTTACAAGTTTTCTAATTTGCTGCTTATTGTAGTTTTTCAGCAAAAGGCAACCAGGATTCCTGCGGCTAATGAGAAGGCATTGTATGCAGTCAGAAAACCAGGTATGAGACTCACTTCTTATGTTTTTAACTGCATTTAACAAAGGACTAGAGAGTGTTTAATGGCAGTAGAGTGACTCATTTCTAGACCTAATAACTCTTCTTGTGTATACAACTAGTGTCATTAGCTGGCTGTTATCCCTAGCTCAGCTTGCATCAAGGTGTGTCTACATTGGTGGACTTTTGGCAAACAGAGGCAACCTCTGCTGTCAGCCTGTTAAGGTCCTTTGCTAGTCTTCATTGCTAATGGTGGCAAACACATTCCAGACGGGACGGAATCATGGT